TATCTCTCTGGTTGCCCTTCCTTCTTAAACTCTCGGTTCAAGGCCTCTTAAGTTGTTCCCTATCTAGAAACTCCTTTACAATACTCCCCTGACTCACATATCCCACATGTCTTGATGAGAATGAGCTGAAGAGCCAAACTGGTCTGCAGGAAGATTTCATGACTTACAGGGAAAAGAAAGCATGAACTATCCCTACAGGTTTGGCACTGGTAACTCAAAGTTAGGATTGGTAGCTACAAAGAATAAATATTTAATGATGGGATAGCAGGTATATGTGTATGTTTACATGTACACATGCATATATGTACCTGTGTGTATATATATAATGTATGCATGTGAATGCACGTAGCAAGTACATATAATACACACACAAATATTTATCAAGTGCATGTTATAGTATATGTGCCTGTGTGTATATATATGTATATACATATACAAATAAATATATATATACGTATATATATATCAAGTATATAACAGATCATTCTACAAAAGAAAACTATATATATGATTATTGCCATTATTGCCGACTTTGTGCAGACTTCAATGTCCCATGACGCCAGCATGGTGGAACTGGAAGATGGGTAGAATTTGGTTAACTAACATGAAGTCTGTGGAAGGCGGAATACTCTGTGATATTGCATTCAGAGTCTCTAGTGGTAAGAACACTGTAGTAGATAGAGTAGTAATGGCGAGAGCCTCACAGGAAGGCCCTCTGGTGCGTACTTGGATTTCCCCATCAGTTTATGTGTCGTTGCACAACCTACTTGAGACCGGTCAATAGTTTACAGAGCTTCCAACATCATCATGAGGGTCAAAGACATATAAAAGGTACTACAGAATTTAACTGAATGAAGCCACATCATCTAAACTATGGCTAATCTTGTTATCTATGCACTTAAAAAAAAAGATTTTATTTGTGAGAGAGAGCATGAGGGTCGGGGGAGGGACAGAGGGAGAAGCAGGCTCTCCAACAAGCAGGGAACCCGATGGTGGGGTTTGATCCCAGGACCCTGGGATCTTGACCTGAGCACGAGGCAACCACTTAACCAACTGAGCCACCCAGGCATCCCTCTATGCAACCTTTTAGAGAACCATGTGCAATATGCATTCCTCCTCTCTTTGTCCCCTCAAAATTTGAACTACTGTATTTGGAAAACTGATCTGTGGGTTAACATTGTTCACAAAATTTGGGTGTTAAGATTATGTCATATGCCATCATGCATGCAATTTGGTAGATCTGTGGAACTTCAGAGCTGTAAAGGGTGTAGCTCCTTATTTTATAGGCAAGGGGACATGATATGTGGACGGACTAATTCCCATGCTGGAAATGGCCCAGCTAGACTGCAACAGAAGTGGGAGGGAAAACCGTGGCCTTTGGCTCTCCTGTCCAGCTCCTATGATGTGCCTGGCAGAAACCCAAGCATGCGGCTTACTAAATCACACCACCGCACACTTTTCAGAATACTAGATTCCAGAAGACTTAACTCGATCGTATGTGCCACACTGGAGACAAATAGTTTGATGTCATTGTTTCAGGAGCCTTGGTCTGCAAGATGGCTTTCATTTATAGACAACTTATCTAATGATTATTATATTATTAGACTAATGCTTTATTTACTTTTTTGTTGGGAAAACACTCTTGGAAGACTAAGGTATTAAAGCCTTGAAAAATAGCTATTAGACATGTCCAATTACTGTATTTCATAAAAATTTTAAAATGCAGAAATGTAGTGAAAACATTCTGTATTGTGAATATGTAGCTGATGGAGTGTAACAGTTCAAATAGAATCATTTACAGCTTATTGAGTAAATAAAAGTGCTTCCATAAAGATTCACCTGACACCTAGCTTTTATTTCAGGTAACTAATCTCTTTTTGAAAAATTGCTTAAATTTAGATTTACATGAGAGAGTATCAGAACACCTCAGCAGTTTAAAAAGTAATTCAAATGACCATGGACTTTACGGATTTAAAATGTAAGATCAGGCGGTGAATATTAACTTTTAATGGTCTCTGATAAAAAACTTATTTAACTGTCTTTTACTGTCTGTGTTATAATAAAAGTGTTATGATATATTTCTGGATACCATTTGTAACAAGAAAAAAAGTTCATATTTACTTTTTCTTGGTGAAAGTTTTTTTTTTTTTAAGCATATAATGTGTTATTTGTTTTGGGGGTGCAGCTCTGTGATTCATCAATCTTACCCATACCCAGTAATCTTACTAATACCCAGTACACATTATAACACATACACTCCCCCGAATGTCCATCACCCCATCCCTTCACTCCCCTCCCCTCCTTGTTTTTTTAGCATCACATTCTCAAATCAAGATTTCACCAGAATTTTTGCTGACTTGTTTACAAGCTATTAAGTGACTTAAAAATCAGATTCCCCCCCCCACCCATTTCATGGGGAGGGGGGAACTAGCAGTGTATGGAGTATAGCAAATTACCCTACCAACAAAAAAAAAATGTGTTTTCATTTACACAAAGGTCAGTCTGTTCACTTGGTGGAGGGCATAACTTTTGGGAGTGCAAATCTTTAAAAACAAATCTATTTTTTAAAAGTTATATTCCATGGTTAAGACATAAAAGTTCAGAAGCTAACATGCAAAAAGTGAGTCTGATTTGAAATACTAGGGAAATACCCAACATCCCATTTCAAGATGATGTAGTTAAAAAAAAAAAAATGTTAGATTAGATGAAAAGATGCTTTTGGTCAACCTGGTAGAAAAATAGACATATTAAAAAGTTAAGATGAGATAGGGCAAAAGAGGACCCCCCCCATAGAGTACCAAGATCCATCGAATATTAAGGAGAAATGAGCAAAAGAGAACCCCCCTCCCATAAAGTACCAAGATCCATTGAATATTAATGAGAAATGAGTTAGAGTCCTTCCCTAAAGGACAGTCTCCCTAATGTGTAATGTGCTGGGTTGATGGAATCATGAGAACAAGAAAGGAAACTTCAAGAACAGAATATAGATTGGAGTAAATCACATATACCTTTAATATTGCCAACAGGGGTGACTGGTCCGTGTGCCGTGATTCTGTTGCTCTGGTCGAAGGCATCAGAACAAAATACCCTCTGAGACTCCCTGACCTACTTTGGTCCACTTTTGCACACTTCTCTCTTCTCATGTATAGTTTTCTTTGACCAGAACTTGGAATATAAAGACGTAATAACAAACTTTTGAAGCCTCGCCTGATGATTTTCTTATATCATAATAAAGAATACTGTGGCTATCCCTAAATTTGATTAAGAAGAAAATCAGGGCCTACCATCTCCTGCCTTTCTGGATCTCCCTTTGCCCTCAGGTCTGACAGAAGGAGAAGTTAGTAGACGGCACTAGAGTCTTCATAGTGGCAATATCAACCAGGTAATGATGCTGCCCATTTGGACATACAGAAAAAAAAATGAGAAAAGATGATTCTAGGAGCTGTACAAGTGCAAGAATTTGAAACTGTGGCCTCAGATGGAATGAGATGCCTCTGTTCAGGGTCCAGTATTCCAGTTTTGCAAATGAAACCTCATTAATGTTGTTAATCAGGGTCAACACCTGATCTTGGGATGTCTTTTCCTTCTGTTGGGATCAGCTAACCCCTCTCCTTCGTAACGTCATTCAAGTGGTCATTTTAGGTGGTTTTTTTTTTGTTTGTTTTTTGTTTTTTAAACTTCAGCATAAAAAGGGATGATTTCCGTCAGCTGTAGGCTTGCAGTGAGTATCAAGAAATCAAAAGAACAGAGATCAAAGAAAATTGCTGAACTAGGTGTTAGATGCAGCTATCGATTTTTCTCCAGTTGTAGTTAAAAAAAATCCACAAAAATGGTAGCATATACAACAGTTGCATTGCTAATACTTTCCTAAAGCCAGTGATGGCTTCCCTCTTATTTTTGCATGTAGGAGTGGTTTTATAGAATGTGACATAATAAAGCAGATCCTTATAGTTCTTGCAGTTTTATTGCTAAAACTGTAAGAGAATCTACCAAAAAGAGGGTTTTGTTTTTTTTTAAATTCTGAAATGTAAAGTGCGTTTTTAATGGAGACACCTATGGAGACACCTATAGCTAGGCTTATTATCTCAAGAACATTTATTTGCTGGGAATCTGGAAAATTCTGACATACGATTGATCAATAGTTACTTACTATCAACAAATATCATAAAATAACAATACCTATTTGCTTTACTGATAAGACTTCATTCATGTTAAATCTCAACTACTGGTTATCAGTGTTACTGAAGGCTTCGTCAAAATATTAATTCTGTTTTCAAGTACATCAGGGATATGTGGATTTTCTTGATTTGACTTTTAGTAGTTTCTGGAAACCAATAATGTTTTAAAATATGTGGCAAATAGTTTCCATGTTGCAATCCCACATTTTGATACACGATTTCCAAATACTTTTAATAGAACAGTTTTTATTGAAACAGAGCAGTGGCATTGTTATCAAAAAAGTTCATTTCCCTGGCATTTTATTTCTCACTGTGCTATTTCCTAGAGGTCACTAGAATTGACTTATTTTTCTTTGGGCCATATTTGTCAATTAAATGAGACAGGCTGATAGATTTTAAAAACATAAATACCCACAGTTCATTTTCTCAGCAGTCGGATCTTTCATATTATAGAGTACATATTATATAGCATAATGAAATAAACACTCCTGGCATTGGTTTCTGGAGATTGCCTATGGAAGCAGAGGCAAAAAGGCCCAATTGCACTGACTATTTGATGCAATAACTTTATAAAAGTTTTATACAATGTTTCAGTGTTTAGGCAAACTCCAGCAGACAGAGTTCATGACTTCGAACACATGCTTGGAAAACAATTTAATATTTGCATATTTTCATACAGATTATGGCAAAATTAAAAATAACATTTCCACCCCATCTTGTGCTACAATGATTATTATCCCTCAGTTCCCTGTTCCTGGTTTTTTATTCTGTTTCCGCATTTTCAACTCTATGTTTATTTGTTTTTTCTTCTTTATATCGTAGGTAGGATCACGAGACCATTCAAATCTCTCCATTCCTTCAAGAGCTGCTCTTCCTGCGGACACAGTTGGTGTGGGGGATTTTTTGCCTTTGCAAGCTGAACTGGACACAACTTACACTTTCTTAAAGGAGACATTTATAAATCCTCTGACGTCATCTCACTCCTCTTCAGCGACTATGTCTATTGGCAAACGACCAACTCAGATTGGATAATGACTTTATGAGATAAACAAACAAACGAACAAAAAAATGCAGGAAGAGTTAATAGTACAATTAAAATTGTTTTGAAGGGGGATTTTTCTTATCAGTTGAATTTTGTTTTAGCACAAGTGGCAGTGGGTTTTTAAGAATCGTGTGACATCTTGATGTGTGCAGGTACCTAAGTCTCCTTGAATAATGAAATAACCAACTCTTTTCCTTCTAAGTTTTATTTATTATCGCAGTGGCTCATTTTTATGTAACATATTTTTAAATGTTAAAGAATGACACATTTTGGGTAATTTCCTTCAGACTTAAAAAAATCAATAAGCCATTTTAGTCTCTATCTATCAAAGTTGTTTCATACTTGTCTATTTTAAAGCAGGACCGCAATACTTTAATAGGATTGAAAGAGCTATTTGAAATGTATGCCAATGATTCCTGTCATTTCATGGCAGCCCTGCCATGGTTCACTGAGCCCCCTCTTCTCTCTTGTCAGCTCGGCTGAAGACAAGCATTTAGTTGCAAACTTTAAGCAGGTTGTGCAAAACAGAAATGATGGGACTGCTTTCCCTCCTGCACAATAATGTCACTCCTGGTCAATGTGAGAAGGTCAGGTTGCTCCTTGTAAAGCTACATGATACCACTTGCCCATTTGAACAAGTTAAGTTAACTGCTGAATCCGGTCCCTGCAGGCACTGAAAACTCATCCTTTTATCAAGTCTGCATTTGATGAGGAAGTAGCACGAGTGTGCCGGCAGGATTTCTGGGGTATGGTTAGGCCCTTCCTAAGGACAGTGCCCACATGAGGAGAGCAGGTAATACGAAATAGTACGAGCTGAAAAACTTCAAGGTAATGGCTGTTTTGACCTTCAAAAGAGACTCCTTTTTTGTTTTGGTTGTTGGTAGGACCCCAGAGTGACGCCCATCTTTGATGCTGACAGAATTTAAAACAAGGCCATTGCCCTGCATTTTCTGCCTTGTAGCACACAAAAGTAAAATTGTATGTCAGGCCGAGATGTCGGGGAGCTGACAAGATGCCCCAGTGACATTTCAGCTAGAAAGAGCAAGTGTCTTGCAACCAAGTGGTCAAATATCAAATAATAGGTCAAGCAGGAAGGAGCTGAGTTCTAACCACAAAGAGGTTTCTGGTAACTTACTTGACAAGCTTTTGGGCGCTTTGTGGCTTGACAAAGTGATGTTCTGTTGGGTATCGCTAGACAGACTGTTCTTTATCGCCTTCAGAAGATCAGACATTGACATTGATTAAACTCTTTAACCCTTAAAGGTTAAAACCTTGCAGTTTGCATCATGGTAAGTGAGTAACAAAGAAATATCTGTAATATGTATTTGTTTTTGTATTAATTGTTTAACTCCCCGGTGCTATTAACTTCTGATGTGAACTACAGTTTTTGACAGAGTTTTGATACAAAATCCATATTTTATACTATTTTTCATGATGGAGTTTTTCATTATGGATACGTTAGACAATAACAGTGTATATTATGGAATCAGTCTTGTCTTGTTTTTACAGTGACATTTGATCCAAATATAATGCAACTTCTGAGAATTCTTTCTATTGGGCTTGGTAAATAAAATTTGTATACTAACTATTGATGTTATTAGCCAAATTAGCCAAGTGATTTATGCCATCGGAAGTGAAACTATGACTGTCCTACCATGTGACACAATCCTATTTCTTACAGTACTGAGCCAGCGTAAATATTTAGAAAGCTGTTTATGTGAAGTAAAATTACATCTTTAACCAAACCTCTCTTAGTTTTTTCCTGGAATTATTTTTACTAACCATACTGGGTTTTGAATATTACAGAATATACCCTGTCTAACATAACACACGGGAAATTCAACTCGCAAATTGATTGTAACGCAGAAAATATTATTGATTGTTTTTGTATAGATCATAGAATAATCTCTGCGTATTTCAAAACACTTTCTTCTGTCATTCTGTACAATGATTAAGACATTATCTGTATAGAAATTGATATACAACTTTGTAGTTTACGTGATGTCACTTCGAATTTCCACACTATAGAGAAACAGTGTTACCTTATATCACTTAACATGTCTTTGTGTGTGTAGGTTTGTGTTGAATCTGTTTCCAGAGTTTACTGATTTAAGAGGAAAGAGGACCTCTGTCAACTTAGCTTTGGACAGTCCTGGATTTTTCTTGCCTTCATTTTACCATCTGTTAATGGGATAACACCAAAAACAAATGTATATATCTCTCCATATATGTGGGCATCTGATTTTACAGATACATTTTATACCGTCAATTTTGAACCACATATTCAAAAAGATTATTAAATCAAATCAAATCATGTCACATTTATAACCAACTAGATGCTAAAGGCCAAAGAAACTGAAGGATGGGCCTCCTGAGTGATCATTAGTATTCACTACCAAATATAGTAATTTTTATACCATATGCTTTTTTCCCAGAAGTCAGACCCAGCAGGAGGAGAAGATTTAATGACATATCCTATGGAGATCTGAGAAACTCTAGACTGCTTCTGAGCACGTTAGTGACCAATCGCTGAGGATTTGAGATCTGTGTTCTGTTGGCAAGGACGGTTGCTGGAGCAGCTTCTTTACCTCCTTAAGAATGATATATAAAAGTAGGCATTTCTCAGGAGAATGACTTCAAATATTTTTGTAAGGGAAAGGAATTTTTCTTTACACCTTAGTATGTGGGTTTTCTTACTAACCTTCTGTGATCTAGAAAAATACCTCTATCTTCTGTCACTATCAAAGGGATTCTTAAAGTTATTGTTCTGATATCTAAGTCACACTAACTCCTTGAAGCTTTGCCTGAATTTTTAATATAAGCATCTTGGAATGACACAATACAAACGCTGAGGCGTGGGAGATTGTGGCAATCGCCAGTTCAATGACAATTTAAACAGCAGAATGGTAACTTTCACTTACCAATGTCTGGCGTTTTTTTAGACTTAGCGACACCATTTATTTCACATAATATAGGCTGTTATCTAGGGCTTACTGAGATCATTACTATTTTTACATTATTTTATTTACCAATCACATCCAAATTCATTCTGTAGACCATACTGAACAATGGTAAATCGATCCTCTATTACTGCACACTTTTTATAAATAAGCCTTTGAAAGTAACCCAGTGAGTAGTAAGCCCAGAGCTATAACTCCCAAGCCCACCTTATTTCCACTATGCCGGGCCTGCTCAAGAAATAATTAGCACTCTTTAAAGAAGAGAAAAATTTTAAAATTATCCTGCCCAGTTAGGAATAATTTTGAGAAGTATGTTTGGTTTGAAATCTACATCACTTATCCACTGATTAGATAAGACAAAACAAAACACAGCACATCCATCCGAATGACTAGTCGTGGGAAGAATGGTGAACTTTGTACCTATTCTTCAAAGCAAAGCCCTTTACTATGTTGCCTGGTATCACTAGCTTGGGCTCAGACACCCCAGAAATCCTTTCAGATAAACATTCAGTTGAAAGATATTGGCGATCAACACTCCATTGATGGTCCATAGAAAATAATGACACAGGCTAAGCAAGGCCGATCAAGAAAGCAATAACTTGTACAACTCCTAGGAAAGGGATGAGAATTCTAAAATATGTCTTTTGGACCAGTGGTATGGTAGACTGAGCAGTGAGCCCAAAGACATCCACGTCCTAAATCCCTGGAACCTGAAATGGTTATACCTTACATGGCAAAAGGGACTTTGCAGATGTGGTTAAGAAACCTGAGATGGGGAGATTATCCTGCCATGATCTGGGTGGGCTCTAATGGGATCACAGGTGTGCTAATGAGAGAGGGAGGCAGGAGGTGATCTGACTACAGAGAGAAGAAGGTTCTGTGCAGCTCTGAAGGTAGGAAGGGGCCACGGTCCTAGAACTACCGGGGCGCCTAGACGTTACAAAAGGTCAGGAGATAGATTCTCCCCTCCAAAGCTCCAGAACAGTGAGAGAATACATTTTGCATTTGTTAAACCACACTTCGGGGTAATTGGTCACAGCAGCCATAGGAAACTAAAGCAACCGGTAAACTTTGAGTGTTTTTTTTTTTTTTTTACGAGATTAGTACATTAATATTTTAATATTTCTGAACAGAGAAATCCTTCCTTCTTTTAAATTATCCTTATTCATTGCCTTCATAATTTGAATATCTTAATTTTTTTTTTAGGTTCCCATTTTATATTTCTGGCTTCTGAGTATCACCAACAGTGATGGTCTATATTAGGGCCTTTAGTCACTCAATTGCCATCGTTGTTGATAATTTTACTTTATTTTTAAATTTTTTAAAGATTTGTTTATTTTGAGAGAGAGAGAGCATGAGCAGGAGGGGCAGAGGGAGAGAGAATCCCAAGCAGATCCTGTGCTGAGCGTGGAGCCCCACATGGGGTTTGATCCCATGACCCTGAGATCAAGACCTGAGCAGAAACTGGGAGTCAGATGCTCAACAGACTGTGCCCCTCGGGCACCCCCATTTTTGATGGTTTTAAATGAACCTATGATTTTAATAGGTATTTTAATTTCTACAGTATCAAAAAAGTATATTTTAATGTATAAATTTATCTTAAAGGTTCACTTTAAATGGTTGTTTTTAGGGTGCCTTGGTGGCTCAATCAGTTAAGCAGCTTCCTATGGCTCAGGTCGTGATCCCAGGGTCCTGGCATCGAGTCCTGCATCAGGCTCTCTGCTCAGCAGGGAGCCTGCTTGTCCCTCTGCCTCTGCTCCTACCCCCTGCTCGTGCTCTCTCTCTCAAATAAATAAATAAAATCTTTAAAAACAGTAAAAGATTGTTTTTATCTGATTCCCACTTTCATTGGCATATTTGTATAGTTGTCTTACAAAAGAAATTCAGCTTGAAAGAAATTATATTAATTGTAACTTCAAGTAATGATTTGGAATTTATAAGTCATATCTTAACTGTGCCAGACCATTTTCCTTTACTAGTTACCCATGAGCTCAATATATGTCCCTGGCCATTTATCTATGCCTTTTGTTACAACTGAAGCAAAAGAATTTTAATAA